CCACCCTGTTACTTGGTTGTCACGAAACACCCACAGAGGGAGCCAGTTAATGTCTATTTTACGGGCGCGCACGCACACACACACAATGAAGAAATCAAGCTGCCTTTCTGAACTCTCACCCCGACGCCATCCTTGCACTTTGGGGCAGCCCAATAATTGCTTTGCACAGCCATGACTTTCAGACGTCAAGAACCGTTTAGGTTCTGCTCAAAGTGATTGTATTAGGGACGTAGACAAGCGTCATACACTGTAGGGAACAATGCCTTGGAAATGCTTTCAAGTTCCGGTGCTTCCTACGGAAACAGCGAGCACCATTTTGCATAAATTAAGGAAGGTCAGCAAGCCCCTCATAAAACGCGGGACCTCATCCATGTGCGAAGGCCTTGACAGACAACATGGTCCTATGTATCAGGGTCATGAAAATGTCCCCGGCCTTGACCCAGTCGTGTCTCTCCCGGGAACTGATTCTAATGAAACGATCAAAAGCAAACCAAGGCCACGCCCACAGCAAGCTGTCCCGCAGCCTTGCTCCTGTTTCCCTCCTCCTCCTCACCTTCCCGCACTCCCCCCGGAAAGCAGCAAACCCACCTTGTTCACGGGGCCCCCTTCTAGGCTGCAAGGGCATCGGGGCTGAGAATCACGAACTTGACTCATCGCTGTATCCACAGTGAAGCTGGCAACACTGCCTTAATGTCTCATAAAATATACGTGCATTTGCGTGGGCACACACAGCACACACACACTCCTCTCCAAAAATCCAGAAAGAGCACCCTGGGCCACACTTTCTCCGCCATCCCTGCATCAGGGAGCCAAGGGAAGGGACGGTGTGTCCCGTTTCATCCGCCTGCCGACTTCCTTAGTGGCTGTTCTGAGAAGGAAACGGCGCATCTGCGTGCATCACAGTTGGATCAGATTAGTCCCGAGCTGCCTCCACGGGGGCAGGAAGTCCACCTTTGTTTATTCCCTCCAGTCTCCGCTCCACTGACAGGGCCTGTCACAGAACCGCCCTGTCACGCGTCGGGAAACTTGTCTCTCCGACCAGCGGGACCGGGAGCGAGACGCGGGGGTCCGGCCGGGAGCCCCTAGACGCCCCTTCCTTTCTCATCGTCCCGCTTTGCTCTGACGCGCTGGGATTACTTAGTCCTTTACCAGACACAGGCATCGCTTATATTTTTTTCCGGCTACGTGGGCAGCTCTGCAGAGGCCTAACAGCGTCATCCAATGGACGATGGCTCTTCCTTTTGGAAAGATTCCACAGTGAGGCTCACGGAGTCCTTTCCTTGTGAGAAGGACCTTTGTGTGAGACACACACACACACACACACACACACACACACACCCCACTCTGTTCTGTCCACTCCTTGTGATTTAATTAAGACCTTATCCTACTCTTTGAAAGAAAAAAACAAACCGTATTAGTGCTTCTCACATACTTTCCATAACATTACTTCTAATAATTTGAATTCTCAGCATCTATCTTTAAAATGTTATAAAAGTTTTCACGTTCCTCCAAAACATGGCCACATCCGCTTGCTGTGGAAATAAAGCTGAGCCTGTCACCCGCAGCACTGACGTTTGCGGGGGATCCGCGATGTTTACCGCCCGGGCCAGGGTGCGGCTGTGAGCGCTGTGCCCTCGGGCGGGGCCCCGGCGAGGACCGGAGCGGGCCCAGCCTGGCCCGCGCAGCTCAGCCCCGCAGCCGCACACCCTGCGCGCGGACGGCGGTGCTGTGTGCACCCACAGGGAGACCTACTCCCTCACACTCACCAGGCATCGAAGACGGGGCAGGGGGATGCTAAAGCGAGGCCCCCCGCACGGCCCCCGTCACCAGAGAGAACCTGAAACCCCCTCAATTATAGGAGCAGTATAACACCCGCTGTTCCTGGACTTGAGGGGGAAGAAACAGAAAACACAGATCACCACCCAAACATCCTTATTATCAAAAGAAAATCCTTGCGTGATCGATCTGTACAAGTCAACAAAGTGAATATATTAAGTTGCGTTTCATTTGTGATCATTTATTTATATGCCAGGCATTCTCGGTCCCCGGCTTCTGCGGCTTTGAGGTAAGTGACTTTGGCAGCGTGCAACCGAACGGCAATTCTCCTGTCGGGAGACGGAGCTGCTTCGTGCTGCAGGCCGAGACCTCGGAGAGCGAGGGGTGAGGGCCAGCTCCCTGAGATGAACAGCTAAGAACCTCCCCGGTCCATCCACGCTCAGCCTGCCCGAGCATTTAATTTCATACCAGGCACCGTTTTGATGTCTTACAGTCTGAGAGCCCTCAGACAAGTCATTGTTTTTTTGTTTTTTGGTTTTTTTTTATAGAAACATGTTTGTGTGTGCGCGTGGGGGCCATGGTTGAACTGCCGTACATTATTTGGTCAATTACCGTAGAGCATTCAGTTCTGATAGAAACTGTTTTCCTTTCTCAAGCAGATAGTTTACCAAGGATTCCCAGCACCGTCTGCCCCTTCAAGGGCACAGTCCTCGGTCGCTGGAGGCCGCCGACAGCTGGCGGCTCCCCGGTGAGCGCGCCCCAGCGAAGACCATGGGGCGGGCGGGACGGGGCCCGCTGCCGCTGTTTCCGGTCGTGGACATTTGATATCACTGGATCAAGCCTTTTAATACAAATCCTTCTTTAATCGGTAATCCTTCTTGAATCTCGTTCTAGGAAACCTCCCCATCCTCCTCCTGGGAGTCGCTCCTGAGCCGCCCCCAGTCCTGCTTCCCCCCGTCCCCTGCTTTCCCGGGGGCGGCGGCGCGGGGGCGGCCTCCGGAGGTTCCCCGGCCGGGCAGGGAGGCCCCCGCTCCCGGGCTGTCAGCGCGGGTTTAAGCGTCCTGCGAATTTCAGGGTAGACCTTATTTATGCACACGGTACTTCGGAACGTAATTTGCTTACTCAAAAAAAGATTACATCTTGATGACAAAAATCAAGTAAAAAATGGAAATACATGCGTTTAAATCCTTGCAAAATGTTCACATAGCCACGTCCGATAGAGCCCTCGTTCCAACACTTTCTGAGCACAGCTCTCCGACTCCGGGCCCCGAGAGGAATCTATCCGAAGGGCAGAACGACGTGCACAGACGTCCTGCGCTTTCTCAGCGGGCGTCGTGCCGGTGGTGTCGATAAGGGGCACCCTGTCTCTGTGGCGGGCAAGAACAGGCGGGAGCAAAGGCGGTGTCGGCTGTGGCGGGGGGACACCGGGGGACGGGGTCACAGAAGACAAAGCCGACGCGGTGGAGCGGCAGCAACAGGCAGCGCCGCGGAGGGGCCTTCGTCGCCCGGCTGCTTCGCCTGCTCTGCAGGCCTGAGGCTGCTGTCGCATTTCAGGGAGAAGGATCGTGTCCTCCCGCCTTCGTGGACCTCCGAGCGAGGGTCCCCCACCTCCCGAAGGCCAGAACGTCGTTTCTCACCCTAACGGGCAAGAGGACACACAGCGTCTTGGACCTTGAAGACGCCAACGATGTGAGCTTCCTGTACTGAAGCCACTCACTAAGCACCTGTTGACTCCATGGGAGGTTCTTCGTCCACCCACCCCCTCGGGCCAGGGACTGACGTCTGCACTGCCACCTGTGCGCAGGCCCTGGCGCCGGGGCCCTTCCGCGGGCTCACGCCCCTCCCGCCCCAGCGAGACACCACCAGCCGCTCCGCCGGCGTCTCCTTCCCCAACCCAAGTCCTTTCCCTGCTGAGAGCCCTGACTCCCTGCAAGGGCAGTGGGTTCCCGCCACCCGCAGCCACTGTTGCGACCGCGTTTTCAAGAGCTCGGTCCACGCTGAAGCGCCCGGCCCCCCTTCTCCGCACTGACAGGCCCAGGGCACCGCCAGCCGCAAACGGGCTCTGGGACACGCGCGGCCGCAGGGGCTCAGCGGGCCGCACGCCCCGTCTCCGTGGCGACCTCTCGCACCCTTACACCTCGCACACCCCACGTTTCTCCTCTCAGGACCCCCTTCCACAGAAAACGCCTGCGATCGCACCTCGTGGTGAAGCCTGAGTACCCGCGGGCGCCCGGGGAGAGGGCTGCGCTGCCCCCCGGCCCACGCGAGTTTGACTGGCATGAGCGCAGAACCGCAGCGTTGCCTCGGACACTCGTAGCAGCCCTGGGCGGCCCCCCGCCACTCCCGAAGTCCACAGCGCAGGGCCGCCCAGCTTGGCCCGGCCACGCCGCCCGCGAGGAGCCGCAGCGCCCGCGGGGCAGCACCCCGCCTCCGAGAGGCTCAGGCTGCGGAGCTGCCGCCGGCTGTCCGGGCCCCGGGCCACGGGCCACGCAGCGCCCGCCTGTCCCTCTCACCGGGAGAGAGGCTCATGTGCTTCACGGCAGGGTTGCATCTCCAAAGTCCACTCTTTGCGAAGGTCCACTCAGCTGCCTTCTCAAACCGCCCTCTCGAGTCATCATTCTCAGGCCCGCGCTCCCTGGGAACACATTCTTGTCAAATGTCCTCTTCAAGTGTGACGCCCGGAACGGCACTCCGCGCCTCAGATAAAAGAGGTAATTCTCATTACTCAGATGAGGCAGCGCTTCGCCTGTGTGAATTGCGGTCAAGGGCGCCTCGCCGCCCCCTGTTCGCAGAGCCGCCGCGGCTTTGATCTCCCGCGGGCTCTCCCCGGGCCTGGGCGGAGGCGCTCTTCCTGCCTGAGTTGCTTATGAAGAATATTCAATTACGTTTCAAGTTTTAATTTGCTTCGTAATGAAAAGTAAATGAACCCAGCCAGCATGTTTGATTTGTCTTGGAAAGAGAAGGACTGCTTTGCGAGAACAAACAAAGTTAAATGAAAGTGAGTGGCTCTCCTCAAGGGTGGAAGCTGAATTTCTGCCCCAGGGGCCCCTCCCCCGACGGCGCCCGGAGGTCCCTCCGACGCGCCCCCCCCCCCCAGGGAGCATGGGGACACACAGCCCAGCCCCCACGCCCGTTCACCTCCCGGGCGCCGCGCAGGAGGCGGAGCGCCCGTCCGCGGGGCCGGGACGCAGGGGGCACGCCCGTGTCCACGGCGTCGCACGTACCGTTTTTGCAGATGGGGCAGCACTGGTCGGGCTCGTACACGGGGTCCACGCACTCCGTCTGGGGACACGCGGACACGGAGCACAGCACCTCCCCGTTGGCCTCGCAGCGGCACCTCTCGCAGGGCGACGCCTGGAACACAAGCCCACGGTCAGGTGCGCGGCCGCGGTCCTCGCCCTGCAAAGCGCCCCCTTCCTCCCCCGACACGTGCTGGGAAGGCGCCCCAGGGTCTCAGGAACGGAAGAAAACGCCCCCAGCCAGCGGTTTTCAGGGTGTGGACCGGGGTCCCGGGGTCTGGGAGGTCCTGGGGCATCGGCCCGTGACAGGGCACGGGGCTCCCTCTCCGCCCGGGGGGAGGGCTGCCTTGGGGACCCGCCTGCTGAGGGTGTTGAAAAAAGGCTTCTGTTTAAATGTGAAAGAAGTGACACGTCCCGGGGGGCCCATCATGCGGACAAGTCCCTTTTCCACAGACCTGCCCGGTGCCACCCAGCCCAGCCCGGAACAGCCCCGCGTTTGACGGGGACGCACAGTGGCCTAGAAAGGGGGGGGTGGGGGAGACGGGGGCGCTCAGCTGAGCCGGGCCCCTGACCGGGCGCCGTCTGGCCGTGACGCACGTCCCCTCAGGGCGACCGAAAGGCGCCCACGGCGAGGCCTGGCCGTGCTCCCTGGCAGGGAAGCTGAGGCTCGGGGGTACCGGGCGCTGCCCGTCCCGGCGGCCTGCTGAGGGCCGCTCCCTGCCCGTCACCCGGTGTGACCTGTTCGGCCAGACGCCAGCTTCCCCGCGCCTCGCTGTCCTTGGCAGCCTGTGGCCCAGCGCCACCTCTGCACCGTTCCAGTCGGGCATCGGCGCCGTTCCTGGAAAGGCGGGGCAGCGCTCGCCAGGTCCTCCGCTGTGGCCGGGCCGGGCCGGGCGCGGCCAGGGCCTCCCGCAGACCAGGGCGACGCGTTCTCCCCTGGGCTGACCCAGGACGGGGCGGACCCAGCCTGTGGGGACCCCGCAATCAGAAGCAGGAGCTGGGACAGGGAATGTGAGCTTAGAAGACCCCGAGACAGGGACCGTGTTCCCGGGCAGGGCGGGCTGGCTAACACAGGGCTTGTTCCACGCCCGCGACACAGCAGCGCCTGGACGGGAAAATGCACGCAGCGCTTGGGGGGCTTCCTCGTCCCTGCACGGCCGGAAGGGAGGACGGCAGCCTCTCCCCGGCGGCCTGGCTACGTCCTGAAGCAAAGGCTGCACCTGCCCACAGAGGCCTGGAACGCGCAGCCTGGCTGGGGGTCAGGACCCCGGGGGGCGGTGCCCAGGCACAGCGTCCCGTCTGATGACCAGGATCCCGGGACCCCGCCCAGGCCCAAGTCACAGAGCAGGACTCTCCAGGACCCGGAGACCCAGAGTGGCGCCAGTCCCAGCCTACAGAGCCCCTCCTGGGCCCGTCCCTCTCCAGGGTCTGGCCCCAGCCGCCGACCGGTCGGGCGCCACACAGCTCGCCGCCAGGAGGCCGCGCCTCGCGGACACAGACACGCCAGCCCCTCCGCTGGGAGCGACCGCAGGCCCCCCACGCTCCACGGCTCCCGGGCTCCCACGCGGCCTTTCCCCTGCTTGTTTCAGACCCCCCTCAACGCCCCCCTCCGGGAGCCGCATCTGGTGTCCACACAGGGGGAGCCGGTCGTCTCCAGCGGGGAGGCCACCACCCTATGTCCTACCTCGGGCTCCCACAGTGCTCGCCGGGTGCTGTGTTGCTAAACTGAAGACCACCGCCACCGAGCAAGCCCACCTCCCGCCCCCACCCCCTCCTCCCCAGCTCTGCCCCCACCCACCCATGGGCTCTGCTCACCTGCCCGCCCATGGGCACTGCAGGGGCGGCAGTTCACCCATGAGTGTGGCTTCTGCTGGGGCTCGTCCGGGACCGAAAGGCTGGGGCCTCGCTGCCTGAGACGGAGGGGCCCCCGAGCCGACCAGGCACGGCCACCGGGAATCCAGGTGGGGGCTGCGGCCCAAACAGTCCTCGGGGCCCAGCTGGCCTTCTGGGTCCCAGGGACCCTCTTCCCGGCGCCTTTCATCTCCGCACAGGTGCGGCGGCGGCCCCGCCCACCCAGCGGCAGGAGCGGGCCGCTGACCCCCGCACCGAGGGTTCTGGCGGAAGGGTGTCCTGCCCCCCAACCCGCTTAGACTCCAAATAGCCGGCCCCACCGGAGCCCCAGGGCCTGAGCACCCCCCACGCTGAAGAGGCCTCACGACCAGGTTCCCTGGCGCCCAAGTGCTGTGTCCCACTGCGGGCACAGAGCAGGAGCGGGCCCGTGCGTGGCTGTGTCTGGGGGTAGCGGCTGAAGCCCGGGGAGTTGGGGCGCACCGCCCTTTCTCCTCACCCCAACTTGCCATGTCCCCCGAAGAAACTCACCGAGCGACACCCCTACTTTAAGATACCAGTGCCTCTTGACAGCCCATTGCAGCCTGCCCCTCCCACGGGGGTACCGCTCGTGGCCACTTTCCAGTCGCAAGTCCAAGCTTTGTGCCAACAGAACTGGGGCGCACAGCCTGGAGGGGCCTGCGGGCACTCGAGGGGAAGCGCCGTCCTCCGGGCGCCCGCTGGGCAAAGGGGGCGCGGCTTCTCGGAGCCAGGAGAGCGAAGGCCGGCTCCCTGCCGCTCGCCCGTCAGGGTCCGGAGGCCCGATGGCGTGGGTGGCTCCCGCGCCCGCCACTTCTCAGCAAGGGCCAGGCCGTGGGCCCGTCAGGCCAGGCCGCTCTGGCGGCCGAGCAGGGCAGCGCGCTGAGCTGGCTCAGGGCTGACGGAGTGAAGGAAGACTCCGGAGGGAAACGCCGGCGGCGCAGCGCGTGAGGAAAAACACGGGGGAACCCGCCTCGGGCAGGGTCGCGCGGCCGCTCCGGGGGAGCGGCTCCAGGACGGCGCCCACGCCCACCACCCCGGTGGCGCCCTCGCTCGCTCCCTGGACCTCGGGTTGACACCCCCGCGGCCAGAGGCGCGCACTGCAAACACCCTTCCCCGGACGCCCACGTTGCTTGGCCCTGGATGACAAGCAGCCCCCCAAAGTCGCTGTCACAGTTTTGTCACCAGATGGCGAAAGTGTCCTTCCCAGCTGCTGCGTCTGTCTCCCAGAACGCGCTGCTCTTAACAAGAGGCTCTCAGAGGGAAGTCACGAAGCCCCTTCTGTTTCAACCACTGCCTTCCCGTGACCTGCGGCTGTGCGCCTTGGGGGCTGGGGGGACACGCGGGAGCCACGCCTCCCGGCTCTGCTTCGTAGGGAGCGACCCCCGCCCGGAGGCCTGGGGGAGAGCCCCGCAGCCCCGCAGCCAGGCAGGGAGGCGGCCGGACCCGGGTCCCCAGCCACCCGCTCAGGCGCCCCCTGTGCGATGCGCCCACACATCCGCCCGCGCCTCCTGCGCGCCGGCAGGGAGCCTGCAAGAGGCTAAGCAGGTCACCGCTTTCTCTTCAACCGTCTCCTCAGACTCAGCCTTTCCCCAGCCCTGCTCTGGGTGCTGACCTGAAACTGTCTCATCAACCTCGCCCGGGGCACCTCAGCGCTCTGTCTCCAAGCCGACGGCCGGGGCCTCCCAGGGGCAGGGGCACCTGCCCGGCAGCCCTCGCCCGCCCTCGGGCCGCCCCGGGCGCCCCGCCCTTGCCTGCTCCCGCGGGACCCTGTCAGGCTGCGGCCACGGCCCCCGCCCCGGCCACTCCCCAGGCTGCTGGCCAGGCAGCCACAGAGCCTCTGCTTCCTGCGCCCTCCAGGAAGATTTCTCTGTGGTTCTCTTTGTCTTCTCATCCTGTCAGAGGATGGATTTGCACACAAAGGGACTTAATTAAGAACTGTCCCCAGAAGCTGTCAGCTTCCAGCCTCAGGAAGAAAACAAGTCCGCCCGCGGCCCGACAGGGGGCTTGTGACAGTGTGATGTCCTGTCCGTCCCCCGGTGGCTGTCTTCTCGTGCGGAGCGCGACTTCTCCTCCCCCCGGCTCAGCCAGGGGCCGGCGCGCCCTCCGCCGCCGGAGAACCCACAGGCCCTCTTGGGGGCGGTCTCTTCAGGCTCCCGCCGGCTGTGCAGGAGCGCGCTTCGCGGGGGCGGGGGGCGGGCAGCGGCCCCGCTGGGCGGAGGACGCGGAAGGCTCTCCCGGCCGGGGACCCAGGCCTGGCCAGCCTCCCGGAGACCTCGACCCGACAGAGAACCCTTGGACCCCACAGAGCGACAACACGTGCCTCCTGCTGTGTCCTGTGTGACTGTGTCTCCCCAGACTCCGTAGGTCGAAGCCCCACGTCTCTTGCAGGTGGGCCTTTGGGAGACACTCAGAGCCTGATGAGGTCCAGAGGGTAGTGGGCCCCATGGGGGGGGCGGCCTTCTAGGAAGAGGAAGAGATTGGGGATCACTCTGCTTCCCCTCTCCCTGCCCTGTGAGGACATGGCAACGGGGAGAAGGGTCCTGTGTAGAACCTGGCCACGCGGGGCCTTGACCTGGGACGTCCAGCCTCCAGAGCTGGGGGCGGCGGGTCTCTGCTGCTTAAGCCGCTCCGTCCCTGGCACCCAGTGTGACGGCAGAGCTGAGCAAGACACCACCTGCGCCCTGCTTGGCAGTAGAATCATGTGTGCCCGCGGTGGACTGGCCCCCGGCCTCCGCGCCCTGGCCTGCGGCAAAGCGAGCGGGACAGAAAGCGCGGAGGGGCCTGGGGAGCAGCCCGGGGACCCCAGGCCCCAGCAGCCGGACGCAGGCCTCCCCGGACGCTGGGCCCACTCAGGGAGGGGCCTCGGGAACACGGGCCATGTTGAGATTGGGACGGGTAACCTCAGGAGGTGCTTTTCTCATGCACAGGTCCCTGAATGAGTCCCTGAACTGAAGGGACAGGGTGTCCCCTGGGTGTCTCCGTCTGGAGCAGACTTGGGGGGTGTGAAGGGGGACAAACTGCTCATGTTAAAAAAAAGAATGAAAGACCTAAGCCCATTTGTTTTGGAATTTGAGTAAAGGATTAAAGATAAGCGATACTTGGGAGAAAGAAACAGAGGCCTGAGCTTCACCTACTGTAGAAATGATTAAAATGAAACGTCTCCCACAGAGCAGGCCTTTAACAGGTGGGTGTGGGGGCGTAACAAGAGGATTGGCTCTCTGTGGGGTCACAGATTCAAATTCTTTT